AGAACATCCAACTTGTAGAGAAAAATATCCTAGGAGCACTTGATTTTGCCGGCAAATTTCGAAGGAGCAGAATGGAACATTTTTCTCAAGTGAACAAATTTCTAACAGTCTTGTGACTTCTGTCCAGCTGAGCACTGGTTAAAGCTTGTAGGAGGAGTTTTCATTTTGCTCTGACTGTCTTATGAGGCTGCATAGCTCTTGAGCTTCTGTCTGGACGATGCTGATTGGACCTGTGCTGATCACATGCACGCTCCTCAAAAAAAAAAAAAAAACTCTCGAACAATACACACTAAACTGAGCATGTGCAGAGTGACTCCTAGAGCTCTGTACTATCAGCAGATGGATTGGGGACAGTGAGTATAACAAGCATGCTTTACTGCATATACAGACTGATTTACTGTTGAGGGTTTAGTAACACTTTAAAGTTATTTCAAATGTTTAATAAAGAAATAAATACAGAAACCCCCAGTACGTTTGATAACCTGTTTTGGGAGTAAAAGTAAAACTGCATTCCATATCTGGGGGTGCCTTTAGTTCAATTACTGATCTACCACCATCAGTACAGATGCTCTTGAGGTCTCTATCCACTTTACCAAAATGAAGAAATCTGTTGTGGGTGGAATTCTGTTATAACATTATGGGAAATTATCGGGTAAGATCATTCTAGCGTTATTTTCCTTTTATAGACAAAATCTGTTGCATTTTATATGTCCTATTTAATTAAAACCCTAAAAGAGATCATTCATGAAAAGTATTCTTTCTATTCCCCAGATGAAAAAACACAGTCTGTTTCTGTTCATCAGTCATTATTTATACATTTACACACATCACCCAGAATAGTAATCATGACCTTGGTCCACACAACCAATTTTTACTACTATGGGCTGAAGTATGTTCCTGGATTTAACCTCCCTAGCGGTATGATTATTTCAGATTTTTGGTGCTGAAAGCGGTACCATTATGTTGCATGGAAATTGGCGTTTTATATTGTAGGCCTGTCATTTTTAGGACTAACTCACTGAAATCTGTCCGAACAAAAGTCTATTAAACATCCCGGGTATGATAAAACTTGAAACACGAAATCATAAATTATAATTTAATAAATAATCATAAAAAAAATAATAATAATAATAATAATAATATTTAAATTCAATAATATAATCAATCCAAAAAAAACACTGGAATTTGAAATATAGCGCCAAGTTTGCACATCGCTGAGCAAAGTTGCAGAATCGTTTTCAGTGTTTGATGACGAATTTCCGCACGAATCATTGTCACTCAATTCTGCAAGTGGTTCTGATTTTCTATCGCTGTTCTCTAGCTGGTCTAAAACCGCTTTTGACCTAAAGGGATGCTTTTTGGACGCCATGGACTTTTCTAAGTTTTCAGGCAGAAAGAACAGTCAAAATGCAGGCAGGGCACAGGACAAAGCATTAGGGACAAAATGTATGTGAAATGCTTTGAAACAGCAATGTTTTACTATGTCATATTCGATTATTAGAAAATGACAGTTTCTAAAACTTTTAAATTTGCCGCCGGTTCCGGCCCCCATACGTCCCGTACGTCCCGACGCTCACAGGGACCGGAACTCGGAAGTCGGATGCCAGCATCGGCCGGAGGAGATGGCCAGGGACGCTGCAGGGGACACAGCGTGGGAGCGAAGGACAAGGTAAGTGCTGCAGGGAATCCCTGAGCAACGCCGCATGGTAAGCCCGAGTGTAGCTCGGGGACAGGGGTGGACTGACAACTCATGGGGCCCCCGGGCAATAGGGGATCATGGGGCCCCTGTGTTCTTACCCAAACTCAAAAAAGCCCATGAAAAAGGGACCAGGGGCATCTCATAGGGCCCCCTACTGACCCCGGGCCCTCGGGCGGTGCCCGAGTTTCCAAATGGTCAGTCCCCCCCTGCTCAGGGATACCGCTTTTGGTACTGAAATTTTACCCCGAGCTACACTCGGGAATACCGCCAGGGAGGTTAAAGCAAAGGTGTCAGGATGTGAATTTTGGAACTTAATGCCACCTTGTTTTAAAAGCAAATCTATAGTCAGAAATTATAGCCCAACTCCAGGTTACATTTTTTTAGGGTCATTTCACACGGGCGTTCCTTTTTTGTTTCTTCAATTCAATCACGTTTTTTCAAAGAAAAAACAGATGAGTTTACATCCGTTTTTTCATCCGTTTACATCTGTTTTTTCATCAGTTTTTTTATCCGTTTTTCATCCATTTACATCAGTTTTTCATCTGTTTACATTGGTTTACATCCATTTTTCATCCGTTTAGATCTGTTTATATCTGTCTACATCCGTTTTTGGTCTGTTTACATCCATTTACATCTGATGACATCTGTTTTTCGTCCATTACAGGTTTTTTTTTGCGGAAGAAAAATAGGGTTTCCTTTCGTTAAAAAATACAGATGTTAACGGATGCAGATATTACCGGATGTAAAAAGATGCGCATCCATTTACATCCGCAAGTCCATAGAAATACATGGGGGTCCGTTTTTCATCTGTAAACAGACAGAGGAAAAACGGACATACGGAACGCCCATGTGAAAGAGGCCTTATAGAGTCTTCCCGGAGGACTATATAAAAAAAGGAAATACCGTATTTGGCCACTAACTGGCACTAAGCATGATAGGAATATCTAGCACCTTCTAATGACCAAATGTAATATCCTCTGTTTTAAAGGGTAACTCCACTGTTGTGGGGATAAAATGTAGGGAAAAAAAAATATATTCACACACATATATATATATATGTGTGTGTGTGTATATATTTATATATATATATATATATATATATATATATATATAGTTATGACACAAGTTATATTGTGTAATTAAATGTTATTAAAAGTTACCTTCCTTTTCAATCTGCAGTGCTGTAATGCTCTGTAAAATGCAATGCAATATGGCTTCCTGGAGGTATTTTGTATACAGATGGTATACAGAACACTCCCCAGATATGTCATTTCTTGCTTGTGTAATTGGCTCACTGACCTTCCCTGCAGTCTGATTTCAGTGATTCAAATCATATTTTGAGCATCCCCTGCAACAAAAATGTCATTTTTGGTGAGATACTCCCAAAGTGAAATCACATCTAAAGGGATGCAGACCCTTCAATTTTCCTCCTTAGAGCTCTGCAAGTGCAGCAACTGATTGATACTTATCAAACCACTCCCATACAGATTCACTCTGCACATGGTCACAGACAAAAAGCTATTTCTTTAGAATAACAAAAGGTAGGAATCTGCACCAAATGTTGTTAAAATTCTTGCAATGTACATAGATCACCCCGAAGGAATATTTTTTTTCTCAATAAAAGTGGAGTTTCTCTTTAAATGGAATAAAACAACCAACAGAGCAAATAGCATAATAACTTTAATTTTTTTTATTCCATTCACACAGAACAAGCACACACAGCACTTTCACTGAGTGAATTGGTATGCTATTTTTTAAAATAGACATTAGGTTGAACAATATGCTATGCTTTCCAAAAAGAAAAAAACAGAAATACCTCTGGGTTTTTTGGTAACATGCCAATGAAAGTGTATGTAAAGCCAAGAATAACATTTTGATACATTGTAGCTTGCCAGTTCTTAGATGTAGTGGATGAATTACGGTAGTTTTATTTTTTTTTTTGGGGGGGGGGGGCTTTTTCAATTTTATTTTCACTTGGAGATCCTGCATGTACACTTCCTGTCCTAAGGTGACAATGCTCACTCACTGTTGCTACTACAAAATACCACCCCTCTTCATCTCCATTACATGTGAGGGGATGATCTAGTTCTCAGAATAAGATTGGAAAGACTGCTTAGTCTCTTATTATGTACGTAACACAAACCCAAATCCATTCTTTTCACATTTATCACAAGTCATACATGGTCACCAATGGGGCACTTTAATAATTTGAGGAGACTCAAACCAAGTGATCCATCCTCACCTTGAAAAATCCCCATGTAGTCCAACTTCCTATGATCCTTCTTTATCTTTTCAGGCCCTTTTACAAAAAGTCTTTGTAATCAATAGCTGGCTGGAAAGCAACCTAGTCCGTCATAACTATACATATTATTTACATCCACAAAAATTCTTTACTTGTATTGATCACATCTTTCTTCCAGTAGTTTCTGTCCCTCTAATTCTTAACTCAACTATTAAACCTATTTCCCGGTTGGATTATTCGGGAATAATCACTACCCACTCATCTCTCATATAAAAATCCACAGATACGACATGAACATTAAACAAATCCCATATGGAAAACAAATCCTTTTGTTTTGAAATTCAGTTAGCACTTAAAGAATATTTACTCCATAATGCTACAGCAGACATCTCTCCAGTGGCCCCTTGGGAGGCTCAAAAACCAGTAATAAGAGGTACTTGTATCAAAATAGCAACCCAACTCAAATGAGATAAGGTAGCCTGTCAGCAGGCTCTAGAGAGAGCTTATCAAGTCCATATTTTAGCCTTCCAGGCCCATCCTACCCCTCTTAATAAAACTCAGCTTGAGAAAACCTGAGTAGAATAGGACTTTGCATTGGCAGAAGCAGCTGAGAAGTTATTGAGAAGGTCTCGTCTCACTTATTATATGAAAGCTTATAAACCTGATACCCTGTTGGCACTGCGACTCCGACAACTAGAAAACCTATCCGCCTAAAATTAGCTAAGGATCTGTACACCAGTGACCCTGTCAAAGTTCTTCACAAGTTCAGAGCAAATTTTTCCCACTTGTAACTGAACAAGCTACCTTTTCCTCTTCTCAGACCAATGCACTTTTAGCCAATGTCCCTTTATCAACCCAAATGAATCAATGTTCTACCTTGGATTGGCCCATCACGTATGAGGCAATTCAGCGCACCATTAAATCTTTAAAGACACATAAGCGCCCTGGACCAGATGGTCTACCTGTTTTTACTATAAAAAGTTTTCAGACTTCCTAGCTCCACTTCTAGCAAACTCTTTTTAATGCATTGCTTAAGCAAAACTCATTTAGACCAGAGATTATCATGGCAATTATTGGTATGATACCTAAACCTAACACAGATATGACCACCTGGTGTAATTATAGACTTATATCTCTACCAGGAGCAGACTGGCAACTCATGGGGCCCCCGGGCAATAGGGGGATCATGGGGCCCCTGTGTCCTCGCCCACACTCAAACCACACCCAAAAAAGCCTATGAAAGGTACCAGGGGCATCTCATGGGGCCCCCTACTGACCCCAGACCCTTGGGCAGTGCCCAAGTACGGAATGGTCAGTCCGCCCCTGATCTCTACTCAATCTAGGTATGAAGATATTAGCTACAATTTTTACTTTTTGTTTATACCCCATTATAGGTTCATTAGTTCAAAAGGATCAAGTAGATTTCATACCACACAAACAGGCAGCTGACAATGTGTGAAGAGCCACCCTTTTGGCCCAGGTAGCACATTGTCATTGCGACACTGCATATTTTCTGTCCTTGGACATGCAAAAAGCATTTGATATGCTGTCATGGCCTTACTTACGCTACTTTTTTGAAAGATGGGGCTTCAGACCAAATTTTCTAGCTTGGATCTCTTCTCTTTGCACACGTCCACAAGCATATGTTAAATATGTGGGATATAAATCTGATCGATTTGAAATCTCCCATGGGACATGGCAAGGTTGCCCCCTATCCCTGCTTCTTTTTCCCTAGCTTAAGAGACACTTGTGCCATTGATTCTCTCCAACCCCGATATCTGCAGTATTGAGGTGGCTAGTAATCACCACAAATTGTGTCTGTTTGCAGACGATATACTTTTGTTTCTAACCGCCCCTCTGACAACTCCCAACCTGTTCCATGTTTTGGAGCACTTCACATCTATATCTGGTTTAGAGGTGAACAAAGAAAAGTTGCATGCCCTTAATCTTACCCTCTCTGCATCTGTTCTCTCTGAATTACAATCCTCTTTCGCATTCAAATGTGCTTCACCTGCACTCACATACCTGGGTATCAAGTTGGCCTCACATACTGCAACTCTATTTTTCATGCAAATTACCCCCCCCCCCCCCCAATGCTAGCACACTTAAGATCACTAATGACTCAATGGTCACCACTGAAAGTTTCCTGGTATTGTCAGTCACAATTCCTTCTATTTAAGGATTCTCCAACATCATATCAATACTGACATTTGGGGTCAATTCAAGCCAAGATTATCTAGAACAGTTCTAATGTGCAACGCTACAAGGTGGCATTGGTCTCCCAAACTTTATCAAATATTATCAGGCAGCTCAACTGGCTCACTAGACTAGAAGCGACAGACTTTGACCCATTGGTTGTCGAGAATCTCCTTTGGCTTCATCCCAAAGAGCAAAAAATAACGAACCCAAATACAAAACACTATTTAACCATTTGGGATTCTCTAAAATCTACCTATCATTTACTGTCCTTGCATGATCCCCTTTTGTGCTTCTTAAACAATCCCTCTTCCCATCCAGGAAGAGTTGCCCCAACCTCATTTCATATTTAGAAATCCTTAGGTCTACACAGGTTCGGTCACTTGGTAACGAGATGCTCTCTACAGACGTTTGCCTCCCTGCAAGAGCAATATCAGGCTCAGAATTCTGAATTATTCGGATATCTCCAAATAAAACATTTTTTCTCCATCTATACAAAAGATCAACCTGACCTGCAGTCTTGCACATTTTATGAACATATACAGTATGTTCCTCAAATATCCCCGGGCACCAAGCATTACATCTAAAATATATGCCCACGTAACCTTGCTAAATGAGACACCACCTGCTTATGCCAAGCGGTGGGCTGCAGACCTCAATGTTTTATTAGAACCCAAAGATCGGTCAGATATTCTGTCCCAGACAGAATCACATAGATTCTTCCCACCTATCCTCCAAATTGCTTTAGAGGCTGTGCGGAAGCGGGTACCCACCTGCATGTATGGCGGACCTGCCCAATAGCTTCAACTTACTGAGGTCTTTGAAATGTCAACTGTTATGGGAACTCATACCCCCAAACCCAGCAGTAGCACTGTTAAATAAAAGCAACTAGGCTCTCACATCAGCTCAATTTAATTTATTCCTAAATGTGACCACTGCTTTCAAGCAGACCATAGCTAAAGGGTGGAAAAAAAACTACAATATTCATTCTGGAGATTAAACACTGAATAACACAATGTATGACACATAGCAAAATTGAGGCTACTCTACTCGACTGCATACCCGAACCCTTTAAAATTTGGCAGCCATGGATAGACCACTTTTTGCCTCCCATTTTTGGCCAGTCACTGCTGGAACCCTGATTTCCTATTACAACGTAAACATCCCTGTTTCTAGACTCTAAGGCAATGGCTCCTTTGGCCCGGTGAGAGAGACTCCAAACTTCTTCTCCCTTCTGTTTCCTTCTACTTTATTTCTTCTCTCCATTCTCTTCTTCTTTTTTTTGGGTTATATTGTAAGGTTCAGTAGAAATCGCTCCGAAACGGTGAATCCTAGAGCTTTATAGTGTATAATCTACCCTACTGATAGGGGATAATCTTGTATGTTAACAAAATCCTTGACAAACTCGAAGTAATTGTCAAGTACTATTTAATATTCTTACAATATTTAACATAATTTGTGGAAAAATATTTTTATACATTTGTTAATGGAGTGTATTGATTATATTTCAGTCTAAGTGTTATTCATGTCTGTACACTGATGTCTTACTCTCAATAGAACGTTTGAACAAAAAAAATTGGAAAGACTGATAACATTGTTTGAGATTTCATTTCAGTGCAAAGGAAGTTACAGGCACACTGGATTTCTGGAAGGATCAACCTATACAATAAAATTTACTTATCCTGGAAAAAAAAAAATAATACATCCACTGGTAATCTAATATTATGTCTGGGTTCTTGGGTTTAGGAATCCTATCCTTCTTCACGAAATGTGAAGAGAAGTATGCCCTCTCCTGTATCATTCAGGCCTATTTCTAGCACAATCGCCAAAAGAAATAGCCCTGGATGAGATCATAGCTTGTCACCCTCAAGCTGCAAGAGAGTGCGATGAGTCACTGCTGTGGTGCTATTCAGCTTTTTATATATTATTATTATTATTACTATTATTAACAATAATAATGTTTAACCACTTGCCCTCCTGAGGAGGATTTACCTCGCTTAATGACCAGGCCTCTTTTTGCTACTTGGCGCTGCACTAATTCAACTGATAATTGCGCGGTCATGCAATGCTGCACCCAAACGAAATTGACGTCCTTTTTTTCACACAAATAGAGATTTCTTTTGGTGGTATTTGATCACCTGTGCACTTTTTATTTTCAACGCTATAAACAAAAAAAGACCAAAAATTTTGAAGAAAAACGATATTTTTTACTTTCAGCTATAAAAAAATATAGTAAACTCAACGTTAGTTATAAATTTAGGCCAAAATGTATTCTACTACATGTTTTTGGTAAAAAAAATTCCAATAAGTGTATATTGATTGCTTTGTGTGAAAGTTATAGCGTCTACAAACTATGGTATAGATACTGCAATTTACGCCATTTTTTTGCTATACAGCACTGCGCTAGTTTAACGGACAATTGTGCGGTCATGCAATAGGGTACATAAATGAAATTTACATCCTTTTTTTTTCCCACAAATTGAGCTTTCTTTCGGTATTTGATTGCCTGTGCGTTTTTTATTTTTTGCGCCTATAAAAAAAAAAAGGCTGACAATTTTGAGGAAAAAAACAATATTTTTGGACTTTTTGCTATAAAACATGTCCAGTAAAAATAAATAAAAAAATCAAATTTAGTCATAAATTTCTTCCAAAATGCATTCTGCGACATGTCTTTGCTACAAAAAACCCAATACGTGTAAATTAATTGGTTTACGTGAAAGTCATAGCGTTTACAAATGGCGGGAAAGTTACTGGGATTTTTAATTTATTTTTATACTAATAATGGCGGCAATCAGCGACTTATGGCGGCGATCAGTGACTTATGGCGGCAATCAGCGACTTATGGCGGGACTGCGGTGGACATTCTGACACTGGGGGGGAACTGACTTGGGGTCACTGACATCCCCAGTGACACCAATACAGTGATCAGTGCAAAAAAAAACCCACTGACACTGTACTAATGGCACTGGGGAGGAAGGGGTTAACTTTATTATTCAGTGAAAGGGTTAACTGTGTGAGGGGAGTGTTTTACTAGGGGGCGGGGGTGTGTACTTCACGGGAACACTGCTGATCGGGAGAGAGAAACTCTTCTGTTCCGATCAGTGTGTCAGGAGCTGTCAGGGAACTGACAGAAAGCACAGCTACTGCAGCTGTGCTCTCTGTCACTGATTGCCGCTAATGGCCGGGACATAGCCAGTAATGACCGGCTGTGACCCGGCGACTGACATCCGCGCGCCGTGATCGGCGGGACAGGTAGGGCGGCAACGCGCCTCGTGCGCCCCCTACCTGTTTTAAAAACACACACGTTTTAAAACGTGGTTTTGCCCAGCCGAGCCGCCGTATTTCTACAGTGGCTGGGCGGCATGTGGTTAATATACAATAAAAAATATATATATTTTGTTAATAATACATAATAATTCAGTTCTAAATACACTTTAAATATCTTACCCAAGCATACATGAGCAATTTAGCTAACACATAAGATTAGTAAAGTTTTTGACTTTCCTGCTTTCTGCTCTGCAAAAAAAGGAAGCTGGGTTTTAATGACTTATGATGATGCATATAATTATAATAATTTGGTATTTTCTTTTAAAATAATGACTTCATCTACACATGTAAAACACATTGAATGAAATTACAGTTAAACAGCAACATAAAAATTCATCTCCTCACTTAAACTCTAAAGGATTTTGGTTAAAACAGCTTAATGCATTCATTCAAATGTAAACCTCATGTAGGGAATTCAGTACAGATAAAGAAAATTGCTTCTCCTCCGAGACTTAGATGCATGTAAGCTATGCTGTTGCCTGTAGCTGTAGCTAATTACCCCAGAAACGTAATGTTGGGATAACAAGGAACAGTTGAAAGGTTAAATTGTACTATTATAGGCGATGTTTTCAGAGCATTGCAAGTCACCCTAAATTGAGTTCTGTTGAGTTATCTGTAGATGCTGCTTTTTCCGTCACTGACCAGAGGTTTACAACATTCATCCTAACATTCCTCCGATCAGATATAACCCAAATTCTGGTGCTAAGCATTGTACTGTTGTGTTTTAAGCATATTTCCTATTAAGGAGTTTAGATACATTTTAAAATAGAACTGCTCTTTAGAGAGCCCTGACCCAGTCTGCATGAGGCTTACCTGTCCTTGTTTCTTGCCCTTTAATAATGAGAATGGAAATGAGTACATAGTAGTTTTGTACTTTTTTCATTTATTTATTATGATCAGGACTAAAAAATACATTTTAAAAATATATTTTTTTTTAGCAAAAGACTACACTGGTGATTCTTCCACTGCTCACACCTTGTCAAAATTATTAGGATGCAGCCAGGGGCGGACTGACAACTCATGGGGCCCCCCGGGCAATAGGGGATCATGGGGCCCCTGTGTCCTTGCCCAAATTCAAAAAACCTATAAAAAAGGTACCAGGAGCATCTCATGGGGCCCCCTACTGATCCCTGGGCCCTCGAGCAGTGCCCGAGTTTCCAAATGGTCAGTCCGCCCCTGGATGCAGCTGACACATTCCCTGGTCACTATCACTTTCTGGCTAAAGCTGCCAGACCTCACTTGTTAGAAACTGAGTAACAGCAAATGGGGTCATCCAGCATAGGCGTGGCACCACAGGAGGTGAAGTGGTGTTTTAATGATCCTGTAGGGCAGCCTTTCTCAAACAGGGTTCCTCCAGAGCTAGGGGTTCCTTGGGCAATTAGCAGCTTCTGCCTCTCAGATGAGTAACCACTGACACCAATCATCTTTTTAGCCATCTGTAAGGAGGGTTCTTCCCAATGACCACAATTGCAAGGAGAATTAATCTGACTGATCATCACACTAATGAACTGTGGGTTGTAAAAATAATAATTATCAGGGGTTCCCTGAACCTATAGAGTTGTTTTAAGGGTTCCTCAATGTTAAAATTTTTTAGAAAGTCTCATGTGGCAACTTTTGTTTTAACCTTTTCACGCTGGCTGCACGCAAATGTGCGGCCTCCCGGCGTCTGGGCCATGACGCCAAGCGGCAGCACATTTGCATGCAATTAACAAAAACATCCGTGCTGAGAGCACGGGCCCTGCGCGCTCCCAGGACACATGTCCGGTACTCATGGAATGGTCCCGATCTCTTTTCGATCGAGACCTTTCCTGATCATGTGACCACTATGACGGCGAATCATGACCTTAAAACCCCGCCCCGCCTCCTGGCTTCTGAAACCCTTAAAGGGCCGGGAGGTGCCGCCGCCAAGCGGTTGAGAAAGCTCAACGGTGCTTCCTCCTGAAAGGGAACTGTAGTGATTAGCATGACTGCATGGGATGACACACAGGTTGTTTTAAGAAAAATAATAATTTCAATGCTAATCATTTTAATATTAATAAATAATTTAATAATCTGGGTATAATTTATATAGTTGGGGGTGAATAACTATTTATTTTTTATTTTACAGCAGCAGAGTAATTGTGCACAGCACAGCCACCCCACTGGATTGTTGTCATCCATTCAAGAGACATGATTTCCAACCGATTACCTTCAGCTTGTCCTGAAGATGACTCATGGATTAAACTTAAAATAGTGCGACAACAGATCCCCATCAGCCATTGGAGTACGACCACTGCCAAGTTTCCCTCCCTCCTGCTCTAATAATGTTTCACTGTAATTATTGTCACGTTTTTTATTGAGGAGGAGATGCAGGGGCGGACTGACAACTCATGGGGCCCCCGGGCAATAGGGCATCATGGGGCCCCTGTGTCCTTGCCGAAACTCAAAAAAGCCTATGAAAAAGGTACCAGGGGCATCTCATGGGGCCCCCTACTGACCCCGGGCCCTCGGGCAGTGCCTGAGTTTCCAAATGGTCAGTCCCGCCCCTGAGGAGATGGTTATTCAGCTTACAGTTGGATTGAGATGCTAAAGGTAGGCCTATTATTGTTGGTTACAAGTTTTATTGGTATGATACTGGGTAACTTCCTAAATAAATAACCATGGTCTTGTCAAGCTGAATAAACCTTGTTAAATACTCTTTTATGGTTATATTTCTTTTTTCCCAAGTTTCCTCCTCTACTGTAGTTGGTTTCTTTTAGCCAAGCTCTCTATTATCTATTTTAACTTTTCTTTGGTTCCCAAGCCCTACTCTATAGAAGCCATGGTTTTGTGCAATGATGATAGACAATAAGTCCTGAATTAAAGGTGTGCTGTATGGAAATAAATTGCTTTGTAATATTACGTTGTATCTATAACAGTAAAAAAAGTCTTTCATTTCAGAAACCCCTTCTATAGAACAAGAATTGAGGTTAATAACAGAGTCCATAATTTTAAGATACATTTTCTTAAAGTAGAACTATGGCTTCCTATTAAAAAATTACCCACACACAGTTTTTGCATGCTTCATTAATATTGCCCTATAAACTGTTCTCCCGGGTTGACATCTCTAAACACTGTTTTCACAACAGGCGAGGTAAGAAACTGCACCTTTTAAAAGGATGGGAATATTTTTCAGCAATGCCAAACCTTTCTTACTTAACATCTAAGCTTTCCATGAGTCTCTGAGCTTACATACTATTTTTTCTACCTTACATGGTTTATTTTAATCAAGGAATAAGGAAAACAGACAGGCCGTTAAGGAAAATCTATTTTGATGGATAAATCATGTCACTGGATAGTGTCAGAGTGAAGCCCGCAGATCTGTGACAATGATTTCCATAGAGATGTCAGCACATGAGGAGACCCCATGCCTTGTACAGAAAACACCTCTGTTCGCTGTGATGCATTCTTCCACAGAGGAAGCAATTGCTTCTATTAGAAGGCTGGTCTGTTCACTTCAGGGAAAAAAAAAATGTATTCTGTAAAATGCAAAATTGAGCAATAAATACTGTAGGTATCAACTATCTGATTTACAATGGAGCAAGTTATAAAAATGTCTCTGTAGGTATTTTACTCTCCAAAATTGTAATTTTAAAATTTGAGAGGTCACACAATTACAGTAGAGCTGAACTCCAGCAATGATATATTTTGCATACTTTAATTTGCGCTAGCTTGACACATACTATATGTGATATGTGATCACCTGTGGAAGCTGTAAATCATTGTAAAAGCCCAAGTTACTTCAGTAATGCCCATGATCTTCCGGGTACTAGGCCAAAGAGTTACCCTCAGGGCTGTATTTACATCTCAGGAGCCCATAGGCAGAGAATTCTGAAGTGCCCCCCCCCCCCCCAAAAAAAAAAAAGACAGTAAGACTGACTTATTTTTTGTGATAAAATATTTTTATATAAATATTTTTATTACTGTAAAGGGGAATACTGCAGATTTGGATGTAAAGGGGAACACTGCGGACTTTGATGTAAAGGGGAACTCTGATGTAAGGGGGTCTCCAGAGCCCCCCCCCCTTTACACAAGAGTCCCCACAGTTCCCCTTACATCAGAGATCACCTATACATCAGAATCTGCAGGGTTTCCCCTTACAGTGCAAGGAGGACCTCTGAGGACCCTGATGTACAGGGGAACCACAGCACCCCTAAAATCTCTGTGGAGGGGGTAATGTTGCATTGTGTACAATGTGACCTGTTCAGTGTGATCCACCCCCTCTTCTGTGTGCAGGACAGCTGTGCAAAGATTCCTCCACTCTGATTACTGACAGGTACTCACTGCCTGTGCCCTCTCTGTGTTCCACCTAGAGAGATCCTGACGGTTCCCAGCCCAGACTCCTCCATTCACTTCCCTCTCCCAGTACCTACTGGAGAGGGAATGGCTCCATGCACAGTGTCTGTAGCCCAAATGAGCCTGTCATACCTGCACCAGATGGCAGGCTGGCGTGACTACCTCCAAGGTGACCACACCCCCTCCGGAGTCCCACCTAATCACTGCAAGCCTCGATTCACCAATAGAGCCACATGATCAGTTGCTGGACAGGAGTAGAGGAGGTAGGGGGAGGGATCCATGTGCCATGAGTTTTATCTGTTACCCTCCCCCCGCGTTTTTGACGCCATTTACACAAAGTTTACTGCAAACAGCTCAGCTGTCCATGACAGACCTTTATTTCCGGGACTTCTCAGGACAACTGTCAAAAAAAAAAAAAACGCATACAGACGGGCGCCCCCTCTAGGAAGGGCACCTGTAGGCACATGCCTATAGTGCCTATTGGGAAATCTGACCCTGGTTACCTTTCTGCAAATAAAAAAAAACGGGGTTGCTTGCTAGCCACCATTCAGAGAGCGCCTTGCATTATTCTCAATGCATGCTAAGCATTCTCTGATTGGTCAAGGTGGAGAATATAGGTGGTGACATCACAATTTCCACCTCATTCACTGAGAAAACTGCAAGGCACTCTTTGAATGGTAACTATGCAGAAGGGCAGCTACTTAGCACAACACCTGGAAGATCTTGGCCATGGGCCCCTATAGTGATTTACAGCTTCTACAGAGGCTGAACAGGCATCATATATGCACACTTGCTTTGGGCCAAGATGGACAAATGTAAGAATGCAAAATAAATCATCCCAGGGGTTTAGCTTTAATGCACATTTGCATTCATTAACCACTTGCCATTCTCAGGCTGTTTATAAGGGTCCTGGAACTCACGTGGCTAAAACAAGCTTGCTAACATTTTTTACTAGCCAGCAGCATCTACATGAGCATCTTTCTCACACAGATGCTGCTAGCTATTAACTCTCCTAGACCAGCAACTCATTTTTCACATAGAAAAGCCATTCAGGATTCTTATTTTACTGTAACTGCAGCCCTGATGAAAGCGCAAATGTTCTGGCCCCTGCAATGCATTCCTGTTTTTTAGCTTGTAGCGCCCTCCTCTAGTTAGGCTGTTAGGTCATTTTAGTTTTTTCGGCTCCACTGTAATGAGCGGAGCAGGGAATTATTGTTGGTCTGTTCAGGAGTTCCTGAACTCAGAGTTTGACAGTAGGAATCAGAACTTAGCCCAACATACCTTCATCCTCTTGCTTCCTAGGCATTGCTCTGCCTGTGTTATCTACCATAGAGCACTACCATATCACCTATCCAGGATTGTCCCATTAACACAGAATTGCCCTATCTACAGAATTGTCTTATCTACTGTTTAAGTTCTTCTGCAAAGTAACTGCACCAAACACTTCCTCAATAGTTGTCCTTTTGAACTGAAAGCAAATGAAAGCAACCAAACATCACCACCTGTGCACCACCATAAGGGCCCCAACAAAGCCGGCAGAAGTATCTTGATACTACTTCATTCCCTCTCATAAAAATGTGCAAGATCTCACTACTCGTGTTCTATGAAGATTGCTTTATTCAATACATATTAAAGTCCTGCAGACAGGCGTGGATCTAGCAGGGTCACTCCAAGGTTCTAGTGGCAGTGAAGCCTTTGGGGGTTTATGATATCCGTCGTTAGGATGCCCTTGTTGCACTCTAGGTGTCCCTGTTACAGTTTAATCTGATCAGGGTATTAAGTGAAATCTGCACCCAGTTACTCTTGGCATTGCTATCTGTATAAGAGTTTGATGTAGAATTGCTGTGGATAGGAATAGTGTATTATAAC